ATATGTCAATAAAACACTCGGAAGACTATATAATAAAATTATATATATATATATATATATATTAACAAGCAGGTGTTACAACATGCTTAAGATTTCATACACTTCTTAAGCAACGAAAAGATAATAACGTTATGAGTGAATGTCTGAGTGTTATAAATCTCGATCCTATCTATTTATCGATTCAATTTTTTTATTCGATCATTAAAATATAATACACCTAATAAGGATTGTATTTTAAATTTGTCTAGCAATAATATTTCAGCCGGTAAAAAATCCCAAGTACCGTTTGAGTACCTCGACAACAGCTTATTATACTATAATAATAATGAAAGTAAAGGTCTCAAACAAATTTTTGAATAAATTTCTTGTGCAAAACACCATAGCTTAGGTTAGGCTGGGTTATAAAGTCATAAAAATCATTATTTATTATTATTTAAATTATATCCCATTGCACCGGTGGTGCGTCATTTTGCGGCAAATCATGTCACACCGACTGTCCCTTATTTTATACATTATACTATGCATTTGAATGTACATACTTATAAAGAGGACATAATATAGGGCTGTCGTGAGATTTATTTGTATCTTTATTATCTATGTGTAATTGTGCGAGTCTGGTTTCTATTTTTGTTTTATGCTAAGCTTTATAATACAATAATAATAGTACATCTTTATAGTTTTTGCACCAGCCCATAGATCTTTTTTTGCAGACAAGTAATGGCCAACAAACCTGATGTACTTGTTTACCACAAGTTTGCGATACGATCATTAATTCTAAGACATTTAATTTAGTTTAGATTTATTTTTTTTTTTTTATCGTAGGATTCGGGCAACTTTCTATCCAAGTCAAATGGACCGAACATAAGTGTGTTTTTCAGTAACCGTCTTAGGAAAAAAAAAACTGAAAGGATTTATGCGAAAACAAAAAGGTTATACCAATGCTAACTAGAGCTAAGAATGGATTTATCTATGGAAAACTTTTGTAATTTCAACGAAATCGACCGAACCGTTCAAATTGACGACGAAACTTCAACGGATGATCCGATAAAGAACTTATAAGTATGTATATTATATAATCGTTTTATCTGTAGTTTGTAAAGGAATTAATATCCATTACTTATTGGGATTTTCAGCGACTTATCGCATGATAAATTGACACAAATGTTTTTTTTTATTTTAAGAAACTACTTTTGAAAGGTTAACATACTTTTGAAAACTACATCGATACACAAACCAAATGTCGCACATGTCTCTAAGCTTAAGCAAGAGCAAGATAACTGTTAAGTGTTGTCGTTATAACATTATAATTAAATTTTGTAAAATGACAATCTGAATATACCTCGAAAATTGTACTGTATTTCGTTGGTATTCATTTTTTAGTTCAAAAAGTGTAGTGTGTATTTTATACAATATTAGAGGTTGTTTTTATTTTTCAAAATAATTTTTTTAATTTTAAAATAGCTAGTGTGGCAACGGGATGTCCACCGGAGAGCTTTTCCTGTTCGTTTTCATTACTTTTTACAACCACTTTTATCTTTGTTCACAATCGATGAGGATAACCGTTTGTTAAACGCATGAACGGTTCTTGCTCAATAATCCTCCACACAATAACATTGTGCACAATAAATAAAAATGTCAGACGAAAAAAAAAACACTTTAAACAAATACCTACCGTGTATAACAAAAATGCCTTTTTAATTTTGTTTTAAATCTACTATGTAGAGCCTCAAGGCGAGCTGACCTGACCGTGTAGGTAAGACACAGCACACTATTCAATACTGTTACAGAAGACAATTTTAAATTTACAATACAAACAGTTTTATTTAATTGGTGTTGTGAATTTGTGGCAATTTCAATACATTATATTATGTGTACGGTATCAATATTCTGAAAGGGAAAATAAAATTGTACAATTTACAGCATTTGACAGTCAAAACAGCTGTTATACTTAGTGTGAAAAAAAAATACACTGAATTAAAATTATGCGCTTTGGGTTTTTCGTTTTTCTTTAATGATAAAAAAATCGCTTTAGGGCGATTCTATCTTGACGCACCTCGACCTTGTGTGCAAAAGAGATTACAATGAGGATTAAGAAGGAAATAACACTTTATCCCTCGCCTAATAATAATCAGTACAATGTCTTGCCAGGTCTTATCTTGTAAGATTGCGAACCTCGTGTGACAACACAGTAATGACGTTAATGCCTGCGCGATGGGTATATTTGTACTACTACTATTTTTTTTTTTTATATTATTGCGTTTAAAACAGAGTTCTTAATTAATTATGCAACCACGGTGTGGTTTAATGTGTACACGCGCTGCTTTTAAGTGAACACACACAACGTTACATAATAACGGATTAGGCAATTTTTAAATTCAAACAAAAAAAGGAACAAACGAATGTCCTCTACTACTTTGGGCTTTTTTAAAGGCGACTTATAAGTTGAAGACATAAATACATTCTGAGAGAACAGTCTTGCTATTGCAATTGTGTTTTTGTATAGCTATTATAAATTAGTGTATGGCGGCTTTATATCTCAATACAAGTATAAAATATAGTATCACTTATACACTATCATTTATAGATTTTTTTATTCGCTGTACGCTCAATCACTTCGTTAGATCTCCACAAAGTGTTTATTCGTTTAGAAAATGGCTCATTGTCGAAGGTAACAGTGTTTTTCAATTCATCGCCGTCTCCGTGTTGATTGAGCCGTTAAATGAGAAGCCCGATATTATTTAAATGTCTTTAATTTCGTTTCAAGTCCGAACAAACAACCGGTGGCTGATTAAAGAGCTATCTGCACCCCACAAACAGTTTCCAAACACTTGACAGCTAGTAATTTGCATACATTTTAATTTTTGATCATTGCGGGAAAATAGTTTTCAAACGGAAGACAATAATTACTATAATCATAATAAACCAACCTACACTGTTATTTTGTACAAATTAAACAAAAAAAAAACACACACAGCTATTAATAGTTATAATTAATTGTATACTATGATACAGATTGTAGTTTGAACGAGTGTATTCATTCGAATGGTGACGAATGCAAACAATAAGATTATTTCATCCAAACAAATCACTTTTATAATAATTATTATTGCTGTAATCAGTTTTTGTTGAAGATGTACATAAAGCGCTCGAAATGACTTAACATAATATTGTAATCATTTATACTTAGCCTAATGATTACAAAGACAATACTATTGTTATTGCTTGCTACTATTCCACACGAGTGGCAGTTTTAAACCGATCAAAATACATTTTTTTGTATCTTCTTGTGGAAGATAGGGTACAATTCATTTTTTATTTTTGTTCATAATTAATTACTAGATGAAATGTACATATTGTTATCTTTTGACGTTAATATATAAAAATGTATTAATATTTAAGACACAATAGGTAGATCTCACGTATAATAGGAAGCGGCCGTACGACTGGGATTATTATGATAATTGCCGTTTGTGGATATGCTGTTGTATTGATTGAACAATGAAATTATTTTATCTATAGAAAAAACGCTAGCAGTTGTGCAAATGAATATTTAATCATTAACTGCAACGGCTTCCAATATTTTCGATGGAAACCTTATTAAACCTGTGTGTAATTTGTCGTTTTAGCCTATACTCCATCTGGATCTGAGAGTCCAGAATTGTGTTCCCATGTAGCTAAACCTTAAGTTCGATCCTTAAGTGTTGTTTGGGTATATTTCAACAGGCACGCCAAACAGTACTAAGCCTTAACTGATCTTTCTCGACGTCAATATTGCTGTCGAATAGTCGGCTGACAAGTTTTCGGTAAAAGTGTGTTTCTGAAGTCAATTAGGTTCGGTTTACGTTGAAACCAAGTCTAGGGGAAGAGAGAGGGGAGGTAGTGGATAGGAGATTGACAATGAAACGGGTATACTATACAGGATGGTTCATTTATCACGGGCCACTCAATATCTGATAGGGTTTAATAAGAAATTAAAATGTTTTTTTTCTTATTGTTTTTGTACAATGAGATCTCAATTTTTCACAATTTTGTTTTTTGTTTTAACCACCCTCCGTACTTAGTTTTTTTGATAGAAACTTTTGAAACTTAAATGGTAACGCAAACATTTCATTGACTTTTTAAATTGAGAATAATGTACTAAAAATGCTGACTGGTCGATAACCAGTTTTGGATAACTACTTTTGAAGTTAATGAAGTTTCAAGTTTAGGGCAGGAGGAAAGGTGGAGTGTGGTATTGACCGCCGTGCTGTGTATTGTGATAGTTCATGCATCAAATTGGAGGATACTGTGCGTGCATGTACAAACCCATGGCCGAGCCATAATAATTCTATTATATTGCAATTATTGGACGACCGACGACGAGCGATGGTCGGTCGTGGTCGTTGTTGATAATATTGTAACAATATAATTATTATTACACTGTCGCGGCAGATTGGACGAATAAGAAATAATATTCGTACATAGTAAAATATGAATTATATTATTATGCGCGATACTACTTTAATGCCAGCACACTATTATTATTATTATTTGTAACACAATAATTGCCGCGATAAAGCAATTGGCCCCTGTAGATAACGGCGAGAATGAAATTGGTTTTTTAAAAAACCTCTCCAAGTCAGTGCGTTAACGTCGGTCATCCCGTCCGCACACTGTCCAGTACGTAACCCGTCCAGAGTTGGCCCGATCGTCGGATTTGCATCGGGATAGCAACGCATATTCCGTGCCACGCTTTCATGCGCTCGCGGCGAGCAGCTCGACGAGTGTTTGTTGTGCGCGCCGTCGCTTGTCGTGGCCGTCGTAAATCTTCGGGCTTAAACCATGTAAACGAGTGGCGCGCAAACGGACGAAAAACCGCGAGTGACGCGCTCACGCCCACCACCCGTACGGCCGGTGCCGCAGCCGCGTCGGGTATAAATTATGCCACCGGTTTGACAGCACCAATCCACCAAACACAGTCCGTCAGCGGCACAGTACCGGCGTCGCATGTCTGATTCCGGCCAAACGGACCGCGGTACCAGCGTGAACGGATCGGCCGCATCCGACGTTTTGCGACATATTGCGTTGGCGTCGCCGTGGACGCTGCAAGCCGGCGCGCCGGAACAGCCGCCGCCGCCGCGCCCACACCGTTGCTGTTCCCGGGCACGGCCAAGGCTCCGGACTCCCGGCCGCCGCCGCTGTTCCCGGGAACCACTACATGTCGACCCCAGCCGCCGACCATTCCTTGTGGCCATGCCGCCAAACGGTTCGGCTTCTTCGACAAACCCGCCGGCCGGCAGTACCTAGCCGCTTTTGTCGGTAAGTAACCCGTCGACCCATCGACATCTGCCTGTGGTTTACGGTTTCGAACCCATCGAGTACACAATTATTATTGGTAGAACAATGTTTAAAATACATTTCAGTCCCCCTTTTAAAATGATAAAATGAAAAATATACTCAATTATAAAATATAGCCGAGGCTTTAATTGTATTAGGCAATGCTTTAGAAACATAATACACATTAGTATGTCGTAGTTTGATAGTTAATTATTTATAGACGGCGGAGTTTGTGTTTTCTTATTGGAAACCGACCGGATTTGGGGCCGTCTTACGTGCTTAATGCTCTGTACAGGAATATAATATATCGTCCGAATGCATTGCCCTGACCCGGCAACGAACACGGCAAACTATAATATTTCATAAATCAAAAGTTTATACATGTATTTTTTTTGCCCGGGACCCTTTCCGCCGGGGTCGTGGAAAACACGGACCCGAGTGGGGAAATTCCATTAACCCGTTACAAGTTAATGGCGCGGCGGTCACACACAAAAGGCAGTCTTTGCTCGAACGCTCAAGCCCATTGACGTCCCGTCGTTCCCAGCACACGGCGCGTTTCACACGCACACTTAAATAAAAGGAAAATGTATATATGAAACAATTTTCAACCCAACTTGGCCGTTACAAAAATAATTATAGTCATTTGCACGTTTTTATCCAGACCGGAAAAAGTAATTTTTTTTAAATCAAGAATAAATTAAAAAAAAACCTTAATTGCCATTAATGTTAGTTATCCCGGTCTAAGTACCGAGTTGAAGGGCCGTTTACAGTTGAAAACAATTTTCACAGTAAATATTGTCGGCAGAACTAATTTTCTCTAACCCGTCTGGATGTCATTAGGATTTTTCCCCTTAAAATAATATTCTAAATTATAGATTTTCATTTTTCACTTTTGCATTATTACACACTAAAATCTGAACCCTATTTTGGAGTAAGTCAGCTAAATCATCTCTCTCAACATTTAGTTAAATTCGTCAATTCCATAAACCTGCATGTCTTAATTGTCTCTGATTTTCCTGCCTAATTAGTTACTGCCATAATAGTAATAAACTTACTATGATAATATTTTCTGTCCGTTCGGTAATCATTCAACTGTGTCCGCTTAACTTCTGCCAAGTCTTTTAATGTTTCCATTATTCTGAAACACAATAATAATACTTTTTTTAAAATATTTATCTAGCTGGTTTATGTATAAGTCTAGTCAATTAAATCAATTTCACAGTAACTCTTGTTGAGTCGTTTTCAGAACTAAAATAACTGGTCACAAGATTCATTAATCTCTCATAACTCGGGTCATATATTGTTAGCATAGAGTGGCAAGTGTAAATTGTGTAACAAATAACATAATACAGCAACCATCTTCTGGACAGCTATAAACTAATTTAGCCTATCAAACCAACTGCACGCGCGTCCTTCGACTAAATTTCATTGGACAGTCTGAAACGTGATGTAAATACTATTTTGAATCTAAAATTCAAACGACCAATAAAGTTAAATTTAATAGAAACTAATTTATGTTAAATTCTAAACATGTAGAAAAAGCATTTGTAGTAAAATATACAAAACAAATTAGACGAATATCAGTTTTAATTTTTAAAAAAAAAACCTGCGGCTAAAGGAATGGTATTAATTTTTTTTTTTTTTTTGCTATTAAACTTGTGTTGTAGTATAGCACGTCATGTCGAGTGGTCCGTTTTTTGTCTTATCAAAATGTATAATTATTTAAGTATTTGATTTAGTAGCAAGAATTCAATAATCATTTTAACGATAGAACTCTTTATTGCAATGTCTGCAATTACATACAAACGGAAACTATAACTTATTTTATTTAATAAAATAATTGTATTGATGCCAAAACAATTATCCGTCTGAATAATACTCTACGCTGTATTTTTTAATGAAAATCTGATTGCCTAATTAAAATTGATTTTATATTTTGTAAAACATTTTTTTTTTCTAAATTAATAATTTGTTTTTTATCTTTAATAATTTAACTTTTGTATTGACCAGATATAATTAGTTCAATTATGGATTATTTGTATATTTTTTCAATCGCTGAGATGTTACAAAAAATGTACTTTACATTCAATCAATTTTTCTTTAAGTTGTTTGTTCAAATTGTTTGTTTAGCTTGATTTAATGGCGTTAAAAATATAAACATTATATTATTATCATCAACTTGCCTAGCTTTAGTAATTGCTATTACTTATTTTTTTTTAAGTTGTTAAAATTAATTTAACTACAAAACTTTAATATTGGAGGTATAAATTGACAGTTTTAAGATATCTGGAAAAGTGAAGTACTCTCGTTTCTAATTAGTAGTAAATAATTACTATTAACTTATAAAAAAAAACTCATGTACATTTTTTACAACACAATAATATGTACTAGTTTGTGTAATTCTATTACAACTTTGTAGAAAATAAGATAAAATAGAATTTAGGTTTAGACTTTTGTGAGTGTTAATTTTCTTAGCATTTTGTATATCAATTGAGGTTTGAATATGAAAGAAATTATTGTTGTAATGACTGAATGTGTGGGGAATTTTGAAGAATAGTCAAGGTTAGGTTAGTTTATGTTCGGCTAGACACAAGGAATAAATTGTTTCACATGCCGTTTAACTGTTTGCCAGTGGCCGAATTATTTTCAAAATATCTTAACTTAGGTAAACCTAGCCTAATAAATTGGAGAAAACGGTACTATAAACATATAGTAGTATATAACTATAGAACATATGGAAAATAAAAAAATTGTTTATTGAAGTCCAGAAAAAAAAGAGAAAATGGAAACCCAAGTTAACATTAGCCTCTTACCTGACTAAGTCATTTAAAATATTAGATTTTATTAATTTTATAATGTACTATACTTAAAATTTAAATTTTAACTATTCAAGCCTTAGGGGGTGGTTTCGGTTCTGGTTCCAAATAAGGTTTTAGAAAAAACTAAATTACATGTTTTTAAATCCGTATCGAAAATATTTTTAAACAGTGGAAAATAAGATTCTGGTTCGACTATTCTAAGTTTTTAAATAAAGCGTTCAGGTGGTTTAAATCATAAATAAATCAAATTATACAGAGAGCCCAATTTTAATAAGTATTACTTGTTTTAATCAATTCGGTTAGGTCTAGCTCAATTTCTTCTGCATTTTTGTAACTAATATACTTATTGTATTGTATTTTTTTGTGTCAGCTAATACAATTCATTGCGTGCACGTGTGTGTAATGTGTTGTCTAACCAAACGGCGCGGCGTCGATTTAACAAAATATTTTACCTTTTCTTTGTTGTGTATCACAACACTCGTGTACATTGTACTTGAAGATCATGTCTTTGTTATAAGCAATGAACATTTAAGAGGTACCTAGCTATTAAACATGTTACATAACCGGTTAACACTGTAAAACTTTGAAACGGCAAAGGCTGTGATTGGGGTGAATTTAAATTGTAAGTTTTGAAAACTTACAAATTGATGGCTAAAGATAATAAGATTAGCTATGTAGTATCAGCGTAGAGGTTATGATGAGCAAGGCTGGTTAAGATATCGTTAATAAGTTTAAGATAATTTTAAGTTTTCAACCAATCTAGGTATAATTAATGAAATTAATTATAATAAATATAATTATTTAAAACCGAAGATAAATTTATCGTTAAACTATTTATTTTCTTGTATATAAACTTTGGCTAACTCAAGTAAACATCAATGTTTAACTTAGTTAAGTTAATTGATCATGTAGTAAAAGTTAAACTTGTAACTCATTCGTTATTATTTAGTTTTTATTTATTTTACAGCTTCGTTGTCGGTGATGATGGCCGGCACGTCGATGGGATGGCCTTCGCCGGTGTTGGCTAAATTGGCCAGCGGCCAGCTGACAATGGAGACGACCAACGAACAGGAGTCGTGGATGATCGCGTTCCTGGAGCTAGGCAACTTGGTGTCGCCGCTGCCGGTCGGCATACTTGTGGACACTGTCGGGCGCAAACCGTGTCTGTTGATGTGCGGTCCGCTGTACATAATCAGTTGGCTGATGGTGTTGGTCGGCAGGTCGATCACCGCCCTATACTGGGTGCGGCTATTGCAGGGCGCGTGCATAGGTGTCATCACCACGGTGGTGCCCATTTACATCAGCGAGATAGCCGGAGACAACATTCGAGGCGCCCTGAGTACATTCTTTAACGGTATGCTGAACGCCGGCATACTGTACGTATACTGTATCGGACCGCTTGTGTCCTACGAATACCTCACTTACTACTCCATACTGATACCGGTCGTGTTCCTGGCCACTTGCATGTGGATCCCCGAGTCACCGTACTACTACGTACTCAGGGGCGACGACAAAAAGGCGCACGAGGCGCTGGCGTGGCTGCAGGGCGACGTCGAGCCGGACATGGTGGCCAAGGAGCTGTTGCACATCAAGGGCGAGGCGAACAAGCAGCTGAAGAACAAGGGTACGGTGACCGACCTGTTCGGTTCGGGGGTGAGCCGCAAGGCGTTCCTGATCGTGCAGATCGTCGCCCTGGCCGACGTGCTGTCCGGCATGACCACCGTGCTGGCATACGCGTCGTCCACGTTCGCGCACGCCGACACCGTGGACTCGCTGTCCCCGGACCAGTTCACCATGCTGCTGGGCGTGCTGATATTCCTCACCACATTCGTCACCGGCTATCTTGTCGACAAGCTGGGACGCCGGCCGCTGTTGTTGTTCTCGTGTTTCGGGTGCGGCACGTTCGAACTCATCACCGGACTGTACTACTACAAGAGCTGGGGCAGCATGGACTCGCTGGGCGCGTGGATACCGTTCACGGCCATCGGCTCGTTCGCCGTCATCTACTCCATTGGCCTGGGGCCGCTGGTGCCCACCCTGCAGGGCGAGATGTTCCCGTCCAACGTGCGCGGGTTGGCCAGCGCCATCACGTCCATCACCCTGACCGTCATATCGTTCGTGGGCCTCAAAACGTACCAGCTGGTCACCGACAAGTGGGGCATACACGTCAACTACTTCATGTACGGCTCCGGGTGCCTGGTCACGTTCGTGTTGATCTATTTGTTTTTGCCCGAGACCAAGGGCAAGACGTTTGTCGAAATACAGGACGAGATCAGCAACATCAAACGGCCGCCCAACCGGCGGATCACTACCGGCCCGGACGCCTCTCGAGTATAAACAGTCGACGACATTGAACATTCTGTATAAATCCAACCCCCCCCCCCCACCCACCATAAACCCTCATACATAATATTGTATATGTACTGTACATAATATGGTAGTTGGCCGGCGACTTAGCGAAACAACGTTGTGGCGTGCGTGCAAAGTCGTTAATTGACGTTTTACCAGAGGCCTAGGATTTCCGAAAGCTCTTGATTGGCATTTCCCAAAGGCGCACATGCGACGAGGACGGTATAATCCGGCAAAACCAAGAAACACCCCTCTCGGACACCATAATCAATCGAGGACAACAATACAAGTGACACGCGTCGAATATACTCGAACAATTCACCAGTGTTTTAACCATATATATTTTAAGTCGTTAGGAACAAATAAAATGTAATTAAACAGTATGTAATAATATTTTATATATAAACCTATATACATATTGTTATAAAGTAATTTTTTTTATATTGTAAATACCGAATAGTGTTAGACATAATATTAATAAAAAAAAAAATATATTTGCGATACAAACAATTTTTATAAATTATTTTTTATTTTTACAATAACCAAATGTTTAGTTCAGAATACCAGTCCTATTCCAACCGTTATTTAATCAATTGATGGTTGTTAATTTATTAGAACATTATTTTTGTTGGCACGGCGACTATCACAAAATTGTCTCTATATCGTGTTAACGTATACAGTGTGTACCTAAACGGGCGTTATTTATTGTGTAAACTATATCACTGTAAACAGTAATAATATGCCCGCGCTGTAAAGGTGCACCATGCAGTATGATTTGTAATGACAAACTGTGGAAGGGCTCCGACCGGCAACCGGTGCGTTGGCCACATGGTAACAACGTGTTGCGGCCTAGGCCTTAGTATACTGCGGTCTGCGGCGGTATACGGATGACGTGACGAGCCCCGGTTTTTTTTTTTTATCAATATCCGTGTACCTAGTCTGTTGTAGATGAAATATAACATTACTACAGTGTCGTGTGGCCAAATCAGTGTTCGCTGACCGTCCGGTTTGGCAGGTCGAAATCCAATCGTCGCTGGCCGCAGGAGTGACCATGACGTCCGTCAATTGGTACAAACAAACGGCGGCTTGTTTTGTGGGTACGTCGACGTCCAATAACACAATAACATATCACTCATAATTCGTCAACACCTAATCATTATCTAAAGTAGATTGCTAACAAGTAATACCGTAGGGATATGATAAACAAACAAATGTATTTATATAGGGTAAAAAAAAACAGTTTTTAATATATTTCAAAAGTGTTTTTAATATTATCATTTTACCTATAGGCGAGTATTGCCTTTAAAGACATATAACTTAAAAAAATGACAATTTTGTAAAATATTCTTATTTACCCATATTTTAAGAATTTTAATTTAAAAAAAAATAAACATTTGTCATTATTTATATTTAAAAATAGTTTTTGGCCACAGTTCAATGATTCAAATGTTATGGAACTATTTTCAACTCTATGACAAATTTATGCTTAATTCTTATACTTAATTTTTTTCTGTTATTCTCATTCGAAAGCGTTTTAAAAACATTCGAATTTCGATTTAAACAACCGTTTAAAAGGATTAAAAAAAAAATCACATTTCGCATTATTGGACGTGTGTGTGTGTTTTTTTTTTTGTAGCGGCCTTGCCGGTATTCATGGCGGGCATAACGCTGGGATGGCCGTCGCCGGTCATGGAATACATGAAAGAAGGACGGACGCCGGTGTCTCTGTCAACGTCCGAGATTTCCTTCGCGGTGGCGTGTACCGACATCGGCACGTTTGTGGCCGCCGTGCCCGTTGGGCGCATCATGGACTGTATGGGCCGCAAGTTCACCGTGTTCCTGTCGGCGCCCCTCATGTTCGCCGGATGGTTAATCATACTCTTCGGCAAAACGGTAATAGCACCGGCGCGGCGTAATGGAAAGTTTGGCTTGACGGCTCTAAAGCGAACACCCCCTTAAAACACAAACCCCTTTAATTCGATTGATTATTGGGTTTCGTTTAGCTACAGTCTACCACCATACCTTATTTCAAATGTACTATGACCAGTATAAAATATTGTTGACAGCCGTTATTGTAGGTATCAATGATCACACGGTTGATTTTTAACGGTTACGCGGTTTCTTATCTCATCCGTCGACATCCATCAGGTAATCAGCAATAGTCAATAGGCACACGCGATATTCATTTCAAATCAGTTTATAAATTACAACATCAATCCAGAAAGACCGATTTTCGTTTGGAAAAACAAAAAAAAACTACATTTCATACATATGGCTTTTGTGTTTACATATATTTCTATTATTATTATTTGTGGACTGTAGTTATTCACATGTGTGTGGGTGGTTAGTGTGTTAGCAGCTTCGCGTGGGAGTAACTGAACATTAGGTAAACAGCATAATAAATATTTGAAAAATGATTTAAAGTGATTTTAGATAAACGACAACCGTATGCACTAATTATATAAGCTGATGCAATAAAATTATAGTAAATAAAATGTGATAACAAATTTCCTGCGTTAGTGCCATTATAACTTTGTATGATCATATTATACAGTAATCGGTTAAAACTAAATGCTGATGTTATTTTGGAACTAAACATTGATTTTATTAGACTTTTCTTGATGAAACTGAGGAGGTACATTTGCATACAATTAATACATGTGGCATCTAATAGAATCGATATGAAACCAGTAATTAAACATTCCGACCAATTAAATGCGACGACGCATTAACGTAGACAAAGTGGCAGCAAGTAGTTAAAATGAATTAAAAAATATATTTCGTCAAATTATTCGAATGTAACTAATTACACATATGCACAAATTGTAACCAAACCCATACTTTGTTGATCACTTAATATTATACACGGTAGTAACTACTTATTTGTTATCACAAGTTCAAAAATGAAATTGATATAATCGAATCTCTGAATCATTTATTTTGTTAAAATGTAACAATGATAAAAAAAATACAAGTGCACCGTTTCAATTCTACAAATTTCACAAAGAAACCATAATAAGCGTCTTTCTGCTGGGCCGTTCGCACTTTTCGTTTTCAATGTTACTTTTGTGGATTTTAATTGAAAAAAACCAATCAAAACAAAGTGCATTGTTTGTATAGAAGTTTGGAAACGTTCGATTGTCGAACAAATACCTAGTATTTGGTACTAACATTTCCATAGACACTTGTATTGTAAAATGCTAAAAAAGAAACGTTTATTCTTAAATATTTTCGACTTTTTGTCTGAGTACAGCAAACGTTTGGTGCTTTTTCTTTGCTCAAGATAACCGAAATTAAATGTCAGCAGCAATTTTAATCACGCATAACGAACAAAACCGTAGTTGTCTACTAAACGTATTTAGCATAATAAACGTCTCGAATAGATAATATTTTATGCTTGTCTTAATGTAATGTATTAATCTTATAATTATTTATGTCAAACGAAACAAACCCACTTAATATCTAAAAAAAAAACAACCGTATAATATTTTGCTAACGTTGAGCATTTTCCCAGGCCTGGTGCTTGTACGCGGCCAGGTTGTTGCAAGGATTCGCCGTGAGCATTGCGTGGGTAGTGTCGCCGTCGTACATCGGGGAGATGGCCAGTGTGCCGATCCGCGGCACCATGGGCCTGCTGATACAGCTCGGGTACGCGACGGGCCTGGTGTTCTCGTACGCCGCCGGATGGCTGTTGGCCGACTACGACAAACTGGCCTTGGTGTCGGCCACGGTGCCCATCCTCACCGGCGCGCTGGCCCTGTTCATTCCCGAATCGCCGCACTATTTCATGTTGACGAACAAGCCCGACGAAGCGGCGCGGGCCTTGTGGCGCCTCAGAAGCTACACGCACCAAGATCTCGAAACCGAATTGATCACCGTCAAAGGATCCGCAATGAGCGACAGGTGAATTCACAAAACTTACTATTTAACACAATATGGTACAGTTGGTGTACCAAGTTAAATCTTCAAACGTTAAATTTATCCGTTTAGTAAGGTTAATTTTTTATATAGGTACATTATTAAAATCGTTAATCGTCAAATCGACATTTAGCTTATGACTTCCATAAAAATTTTCCAACAATTTAAGCCATCAGGGTAATATATATTTTTCAAAATTAGCAAGAGAGCATTCAACGACAATTGAGGGTTTTACACGATATAAATGCTGGTTATTACACGACCGTTAAGTATTTCGATGGGTCTGTGACTTTGCATGGGCAAAATGTGTATATAATTTATGCAAACTGTCCCACAGCACTAATAATAAGAATACTAATATAAACGTTATGATTTCTATTTTATGGTAGGCGCTTTTGTTGTCTGTTTACGCCCGTTAAATGTCTTTGTTAGTTTTTTTTTCTCTAGTATTTGTCGAGGGCGTCTTACATTCTACTTAGGAATTGCAATTATTTTAAAAGATGGCGGAACAAGAGCCTCTAAAGGTCTGTATTGTGATCGAATTAATTATATTTTCTAAGAAAAATTGCTTTACAAGAGGCTATAAAAAAAAATTTGATTCTTTTATCTTCTGGTAAACTTTAGAAGCCGGAGCGCTTCAAATGCATTTTTTTGGACCTAGGTATGTATCTGGCATAGGTACAGTAGTTGCCAATAATATTTGCATTTCTTACAATAAAACTTACATAATTGAATAATACAAATTCAAAAGAAAATTAGAGGGTATAGGTAAGTCATTTTTTACACCTAGATACTTTCACATCGACCATGAAGTAAGGGCACTCGATGCTTGGTAGAGATATCCTTGATACCATTATTGATTTAAAGAAAAAATAAGCTTCCTTTATTATTTTTGGAATAAATTATAAAACGCTTTCCTTTGGGTAGGTCGAACATGTAAAAACTACTGTGTGTTTACTTAAACACTATAAGATTTATCAAAATACATTTATAGTACAGTAATAACATTATCTTGATACAAATAATATTATGTACTAAATTTGTTTTATTTCTGCAGCCACAAAGGAACTGTCAAAGATCTGTTAAACAGAGACCGGAGGCCGCTAGTGATGGTCATTGCGTTGGCCGTACTGCAAATGGCCTGCGGTATTGGTGTGCTGGAAGCGTACGCTGCGTCTTTGTTGTCCAGTACTAGCGTGACGTCTAACGCTTGCGCCGTCATACTCGGACTGGTCGCTCTGGCGGCCACGCTGCCGTTCGCCATAGCCGTAGACAGGTGCGGCCGACGGCCATTGCTGATCGTCTCCTGCCTGGGCACGGCCGTTTGCCATGTATGCACTGCCGTGTGCCTGGCAACCGCCGTGGCCGGCCTACCGTTGCTGGTGGCCGTTTGCTGTGTGACGTTCTTCATCAACATAGGCATAATGCCCCTGCTGTCCGTCGTCCAGTGCGAGTACTTCCCGTCCGACACCAGAGCACTGGCCGACGCTGCGGTCGTGCTGGTCGTGACGTTCACGTCTACCGTCATGATCTTGACCTACCAGCCGATAGTCGACGCTTTCGGCACGGCCAACGCGTTCGTCGCTTACGCCACGTTTTCGTTGGCCGGCGGAATATTCTGCTACGTTTGGCTGCCGGAGACTAAGTGCAAAACGTTTGTCGAGATACAAGAGGAGTTCCAAAAAAGCTCTCAGCTCAATAAAAGATCACCGAAATTAGAAGACGTTTACGAACAAATTTGTTCATAGTGCATAGAATAAACACTATGCAAAGGATTTAATAAGACTAACAAATACTTTTAAGACTTAAGTAGACAGATTTATATAATATTATGTTTGTGTGCTTTAATTCTATAACAACAATATTAACAAATTAACACAAATGTATAATATAAGTACCCAACTCCATTTGATATATTACAAGTATTGTCACCTGTCTGGAACTATTTGTATAATACATTTTTAAATATTATGATCAAACCAAATTACAGGGTGATCAATATTACGTAAGACACCAATTTTCTGGGAAAATACTTGCATTTTGTAGTTTTTTTTATAATTATGTTATTTTTAAATATATTATGACGTTTCTAAATATTTATATTTTATTTTTAAGAGCTTTTTGAATTTTGAAACTTAAAATATGGTAACGTATATATTTAATTAACTTTTTAAATAAAGAACAATGTGCAGAAAATGTTGCCAGTAAATTATTAACAGTTTTACTTTAAAACAAAATTAGTGTCTTGCGTTTAATCGATCACCATGTATACCTACAAAAAAGTAATAGTTATATTTATAGTTGTTGTGATGTAATATGTACATTGTACCAAGTAGGTACACACTACATAATCATTAATATTAGGTATGTTATTATTTAATTTCAAACTATCGGATAAGTCTTTTGTTTTTAGTATTAAGTAACTTTAAGTAAAGAACTAACTATACCACTATTTTTTTTATTTTTGTTAATATTAAAAAAAAAATCGTTTTGGTAACATTTTTGTGTATTAAATAAAATGGGTATAAAAAATATGTATCGCCCTATAAGTGTAGCTAATTTTTAAGTATTCTAACTTACATGGTAATTATAATGGTTATATATTTACTTATTGAAGGTTTTTTTTAAATTTATGATCGCCATTTTTGGTGATTAAGAAAAAGTACCAAAAATGTTTAATGTATTTATTTTTTTTAAACTTAAAATTATGGCACTCTACAACTTTTTTGAAAATAGTAGAATGAGTTCTAAATTTGTGTGCAATATTCTTATGCTAAAATACTACTGGTAAACGTTGGCATCCATAACAATTTCGTAAAGCCTTTTCCCTAGAAAGGATAAACTTTATTATGGCCTACACTATATTATAATATATTATTATAAACTGTTTATTTATATTTAAAGCCAACAATTGTAATAACAATTTAATGTATGATTTAAAACTGATGAGAATGTCCAAAAATGAATAACTTTATTAGTTAATGATGTTTATACAAATTTGTTAAATGAAAAGTACAGGTTAAAAGTTCCGAAATTTAATGTAATAAATTTTAATCCTAAAAGTGTTAAAGTGGTTAGATAAAGCCACATAATATACAATTTATTAAGATAAATTCATAATATTATATTGTGTTGATAATTTTTATTAGTAGTTAATTGTTTTTTTTTAAAAGCTTTATTAAAAATTCAGATAGCTACCTAATAGTTGTTTAGCTATTTGAAAAAAATCAAGTTAATGACCAAGTATATTATTTCCTATTAAGTTATTTTTTTTTTATTGCCATTTAACTAACTAGGTAGTTTTGACCGAATAAGAACAGTTGCAAATATGGTTTAATAAATAAAAACAGCCAATTTGATGTATTTGTCGTATGAAATAATAATCCAATGAAGCTTTGAGTAGATATTAATGTTCCATGTATATTATCCGCGTTAAGTATAACAACATAATATAAAAGGGAGTAAATGGCTCTTTGGGCGAAAAGGGTAAAATTCAGTCGGTGTACATATTTTTGAAAATCTGGCAATCTTAGATGTAGCATAGTATACAGACTAGTCGATGTATAAAATCGGTTACTGTATTTTTTGTCCAAGCAAAATATATTTTATTATCAAATGATCAATTAGTCATGATTAAGATACATGAAGAGTCTAGGCTCCAGGTGTAAAGCCACTTTACAGCAATTTTCTATAAATGAACAACTTTTACTGTATAAATACATTTCCCCCAAGTTTTTATATAAACGTTTTATACAGTACCTATTGGAGAACTTTAAAATTTGTGTTTCAAGTTTTGTGCTGAAAAAGTAGGACATATAATATATGCTATATGTATAGTTATACGATTAAAAAAACATTACTATACAAAACCATGCATATTATATATATGATTTATTATATACATAGTAATTAATGTTCCACTTTATAAAAATAATATACATGCCAATCAAAATTGTAAATGTAGTTATTTTAATTTATTGCTATAATAACAAATTGTTTTGTATATTTTTATCAACGAATACAATAATTATGATTTATAAATACGCTATAACATAAAATAATATTAACGATCAGTTAGTTATCTCAATGTTTTACAAGAACCTTACTGTACAGATGACTTTAATCATAGTATGAGTTCAGTAAACTTAAATGTATTATCAGTCAGACTAACTAATGAAAATGCGCGTGCGTTGCACAAAAATTCTATAAGAAATATAATAATATACGAAATTGGTTATTTATTCAGGTGATAAGAGTGATACAAATTTACTGTGTCATGGTGGATCCCAGGTGAAAGGTTAATGAATGAATTTAAGGTTTATAATATGATAATAAAAAAAAATCATGAGTGTATGTACACCAAAGTTAAAAATGAATATTAACTTCGCATAAACTAATTATTGTAATGATTTACATACAATGTAATGAACAATTATTTAAGTAAAGTTTTTTTAATGTACAATTACACAAAAAGTATCGCAGAAATAGAGATATTGTTACTTGTTAGGTACAGTTTATTGTTTTTTAATTGTAATTGTCTCTCTCCGCGTGAGAGTAATATTTTTATGGTTAAGGGTTTTAAAAATTAATTTCTTTATTGTATATAGCCATAAGTTGTTAAGTTTTTTCTAGATTAAATATACTATAAAAAAAATTTAAAAAAATTAGTCTAACAGTATTTAATTATAGAGAACTATAATAGTCATGCCTACATTGTGATGCCTATAGAGTAATATTAATTTTGATGTTTCCATTAAATGCACTTTGAAGCTGTCGGTTGTTACTTTTATGAAAATTTCAGTTATCATAAAAAAAAACATATTGAAAAAAAAAATATTGATATTGTAACACCGTGTGGGTAATAATATTGTGCGGCAGATAAAGTCAATTATTGTTATTATCGAACGTCGTGGTTGGGAAAAATAAAACCTCATAAATAAAATACTGAAATACCTATAAAATACAATAAAAACAGGCATTATACAGAATGTTTGAAATAACAATAAAAACAATAACCTTTCCCCTTCCCGTAGTACAAACTACTATTGGTATTTTTTACCGTTTGTCTTTCCAGTTAGGTTTTTATTAGCTTTTGTCTTAGGTACCTAATGCCAATGCAATTCTTAAGTTTATTCGTGTAGACCTGATCTATTAGAAAATATCCGAGTCAAGTAAATGATAATTTTAGCAGGTCGCACTAACTTAAAAAAAAATAATAATAACGAATGAAATAAATACAAATTTTTCCAATTAACGTTTTTTGTTTTTATCTCTTAAGATTAGATTTTAGATTTTAATAATAGATTATATTTTTTACATAATGATGAACTATTCTATTAGTTCCGGATCCACGTGGCCGTCTGTATAACATAGGTTTATTTGTATAGTGTATAATATAAATAGATGTAGAATGCAGTTATTAATAAATAATTACAATAAATATCTAACGACAATTAAAAACCGTGTCATTTGCCTTGGATAATAATTGATGGTGTAGATATAATCTTGTCGACTACTATTCTCGGTAGGTAGGTCACCGTAAGTGATATGGATTTAATAATGTCTACAGGGCCGTCGTTATGTTATGCGAAAATTAAAAAAAAAATTTGTAGTAGGTACACAAATGACTTCGTTTGAAAATAAACGTCCAGAAAGTTCATCAATTTTTTAGGGGGAAAAACCAGATTTTTGTTTTCAATTGCGTCGATATGTTTGTGAAGATAAATCAGTTTAGTATTAAAACAATACAATTGTAATAAAATCAAACATTATCCGTGGTCTGTCAGATTACATTAATTTTAACATACCTATAATACCAATTAATGGTATTATAAAATGTTCAGTTCACTTGTCTCGAGGTTAGGTTTGGCGAGAAAATAATATATTTTTTTATCGACCGCTCTGTATACATATATAAATAATATACACTACATAACTCATTTTGTCCCGATATTACATAATTAAATTCGGTATAGTACATATTAGTGCTCCACACGTTGATAACAAATAGGTCAGATCATATTATTAATCAACACTAAAAGGCTAGAGCTAGAACGTTGCATGTATAAGTTTTCAGTCGATCGCTGTGGTAGTTTAGTCTCTTCGATATGTGTAGTTATTAGAATGTTCCTTAAGTATTATCATATTTCTCTTTTCAACTAAAACCACGCCGTCATGTTACTTCAATCTGTTATCAAAGAGCTATGGGCATGTGTTGTTGGTGCGTTTCATCTTATCGAATAACACCAAAATTGAACATTTTTGTTTTTATACAACAATATGTTTGTTACATTAACCTGTCGTTTTTTAGTTTTCACGGACACTTGTCTAAACCAATGGTTTTGTTTTAATAGTGTCGTTGCCCGTGTTGATGGCTGGTACGACCCTGGGATGGTCTTCGCCGGTGATCGAATACGTGGCAAAGGGAAATTCGCCCTTCCATATGACTTTATCGGAAGAGTCGTGGATGATAACGTTCCTGGACATTGGCAATTTCATAATGGCAATACCTGCGGGTATATTGACTGACATACTGGGCAGAAAGATAGCCGTGTTTCTCACCGTACCCATCACTCTGGCCGGTTGGATTTTGATGATGATCGCTGATAATGTAAGTTTTTTTTTTTTAAAGCCCACGAAAATACCGGTTGCACAGTGCGGTAATAAATTGTATGTAGAACACATCAGTTAACAACATGTATACCTTTATAATAAAGTGTAGCGGTTGTATTTATACGACGATGAATATGTAATTTCCACGTTACATTTCAAAGGAAGTTACAAACTTCCTAAACAAATCCGAAAATCTAGTTAATCCGGATAATTTCTCGAATCAGAATTTTATAAATCCGCATTTGCCAAATCTGAGTATTCTCATCACACAACTGTAATCATTATATCCATTCAAATAATTTGACTGGTTACGTTTTACAGTTAAACTTCAATGTTATATAATGTAAAACGATAAGTCGGCGTAATCTATGACCTATAATATTCGGTGCACCCGAAAAGAGCACAGTTTTATTTTTAACTACATGAAAATACGTAGCCTATAAGAGCACACATTAATTGTAGGTACAGCCTAAAAAAGCACACTCAGTAATTATCAGCAAATTATGATCTGTATTTAAACTGTACACACCGAGTAAAGGTATAACAATATTTAAAGACAAATAATATTTTCTGATAGTATTTTAGTAAACACACAACACAGTGTACATTCGATGTACAATCTGCACATTGTACATTGTAATTAAATAACATATTATACATAATTAATCAACAAACAAAATAATTTATAAAAGAAGAAATAATTAATTTAAAGTCCTTGAAAAAAATATCCAATGTTTTTTCAAAGAAGTTGAAACATTAATTTTATTCTTTTTACATTCTTTGCAAACTTAGTTTACACAAAATTGCCCTACTATTTCGTTTTTTCTTTGTGGCGCTTTATATTTATTTTAAAAAATGCATTAATTTTCAGTTATGTTAATACAATATCGATGTGCATCTTGGGCACAGCTGGCCCAAGTGCACTACGCTGCAGATATTCATATATGTACATGTTATTTTTTAGGCTATAATATTTTCATGCTCTTTTGGCATTACCAATTTGTGCTTTTCGGGCTAAGCATTGGGTAAAGTGTGCTTATTCGTGTAACGCCTATAACACTATATGTTGCTAAGTAGGTACCTACAGATATACTTGATGTTAATTTTGTCTCTTCGGTGTACATTTTTTTTACTAGGTATGGTACTTGTACGTCGGTCGATTTTTACACGGCTGTGCAATGGCAATATCGTTGACGGTCACACCCATTTACGTGGGGGAAATGGCTAGCGTGGCCCTCCGTGGGTCTGTCAGTCTGGTGATCGAGTTGTCGTACGCATCCGGTCTGATGATCGCCTACGTTATGGGTTGGCTAGGCGATTACCAATCGTTGATCATATGTTGCACCGTCATTCCAGTAATCACGGGGATATTGATGTTATACGTGCCAGAATCGCCGTATTATCTCATGTTGATCGGCAAAACACAAGAGGCCGCCGACTCGTTGAGGAAGTTGAGGGATTACAGCGATAAGGAATTCGAACAGGAACTGCAACTCATCACGGATTCTACGACGGAAATCAAGTAAATAGACTATTAAAAAAAAAAAAAATACCTAATAATCAAACGTGTCGACTTAAGAGCGATTACAATAGCCTAGAAAAAAAAGCAAGGGGGTGGATCGATAATAAAAAAAGCCTATAACACTACAATTCAAAATACTCCTATTGATAACATGGTAATAATGTTACAACATATAAATTGATACAGTGTCATCTGTAGACGATATTTCCTCAAGTAATTAGCTTTACTCCTTTCCATGATCTATCACAATGTTCAGCTTTTTAAAATCAAACCACCGATCCTTGTTTTTGAAGGGACACAAAATAGTTTAACCAACATTCGATACAGCATAAAATTAACTGACAAATAATTTGATTCATAAAATATGTCTGGTGATTAATTGAATATGTAAAGAACTTTTTTGTTCATGCAATGCGCATTCATATAAGTAGATCTTATTGCTATAGTTTAAGCAATTTAGCTCAACAATGTAAATGGGGATTTTTTCCGTTCTACTATTAGAACTTAAATCTATAACTGTCATACAATGGTTCAAATTTCGCAACCAAGATCTACGTTAATCGTATCGTGATAACAATAAAATATATCATAATATCAACTTTCATGGAAAATAGTACTTACCAACGACATAGTGGTGTTTTTCTCTCTACGCACAGTCCATTTATTGATATATTTTTGCAATCTATAAAAAAAATTAATTAATTAATGAGTATGTTTTTTGTAATTAAATGGTAAGTAAAAGCTTACAATTTTTCCATTCCATTTGCTTGTGTTTACATGGATGAAAAAAAAGTATTTCAATAATAATGGTTTTTGCGTTTATTATAACTAGACACGTGAATGCTTTGTTAATGTAGCGGGATTGATATTTGTTCACCAAATTTAATGCCACAATCAATGAAATAATAATTATTTCTCAAAGAATAGATTATAAAGTTAAATTAAAACAGTAGCGATGACCTTAAAACATGTAGACATTATTAAATTAATTATTTAATTGTGTAAAACTTAATTTAAAAAAAATAAGTGGGTACTTAACATTATAATTACCTATTGTTGTTATAATAGTTATCAGAATGTTTTTTTTTATTAACTACTAATAATTAGTTTTTTAAAAAATTATTGAAACTTGAGTGGGGTATTATGATACACTATTTACATAAATTGAGGTTACTCCCACTCGGATGTCTTGACTAGTTCGCCAACGTTTTGGAACACTTGCACGTTCCATCTTCAGGGCTGTGATTCGATGTTGCTCATACCGCGCTCTCTTGCAGACTAACCGATTAGCTTCGGTGGACGTAGGTTATATACCATACCCCCACTCTCACTATACCATTCTCCGCTTCCTCTTGCCGCTGCCAGCTGTTTTCTACGGGCACGCCCCTTCGTCTTGGCCGGCTACCGCATGACTGATTTTTGTCTCCGTTATCAATAGTTTCCTGCTGTATTCCGGCTGTGTTCCGGCTCTCTTCGTCCCGTTTGGTCTCCGTTTGGAGAAATTAAACTTTTCAACATTTTGATCCACATGATTAGGATAGTTACTATTCTTTAAGTAGTTTTAAATAAAGTACTTGAATGAAATATTGGCATGTCCAGTCGTTCTAAAATCATGGCTAGACATATTGACATATTAATCTATTTATTTTTCCAAATGCACATCGATAGTTAAAAGTGTCCATTTTATGTTGAAAAATTATACAAATGAGCCTTTATATGGAAATTATCTAAAGCAAATGGAAAAATGAAAATTATATTCATGTCTATTATTGATTTTCACAGGTCAAAAGGAAATCTCAACGATCTGTTTCACCGGGACCGGCGGCCGCTGATCATCGTTTCGGCGTTGGCCGTGTTGCAGATGGCTTGCGGGGCCAGCGTGATGGAGGCGTACGCCTCGTCCGTGCTGACCGAAACCAGCTTGTCGGCCAACGCGTGCTCGGTGATATTCGGCGCGGTGATAATGTTCGCTAGCGTACCGTACGCGCTGACCGTGGACAAGTACGGCCGGCGGCCGCTGTACCTGGTGTCTTGCGCCGGCACCACCCTCTGTCACATTGCCATCTACGCGTTCCTGACGCCCAACGGCGGCCACACGTCCGGCGTGCCGCTGTTGCTGGCCATTTGCGGGTCCGAGTTCTTCATCAACATGGGCATCATGCCGCTGCTGACGGTCGTCCAGTGCGAGTACTTCCCGTCGGACACGCGGGGCATGGCCAACTCGGTGATTGTGTTCGTCATCACGTTCAGTTCGACGGTGATGCTCAAGATCTACCAGCCAATCGCCGACGCGTACGGCAAGCGGGTCAACTTCGCCGGGTACGCCTTGGCCACGTTTCTGGGCGGTATCCTCTGCTATGTCTGGGTGCCCGAGACCAAGGGCAAGTCGTTCGTGCAGATCCAAACCGACTTCGAGTCGTACATGTGGTTTGGTAAGAAAAAAAGGAAATCCTACGAGAAACTGTGAATGATCACGTTTGACGGTCGGCGACGAGTTTCAAACTGTCAATATTTATTGTTTGTTGTTAATTATTTATTGTTGGCGCGTCGTTTCCATTCGGACGCCAAGAAGACCAGTTTATAGGCCTCCGTTTGCCTCCGAACGATTCCGCTTTCCTCCCAAAAACCGAAAAGGAACCTAACCATTTATACCTCCAAAAACGTAGGGTGTTTTTGTAGGTATAAATGCCAAATTCATCTCCCATCACCGAGTTTTTGAAATCCGAATCAAACGATACAAAAGTCGTGTTAACATATTAATACTATTATAGTTAGGTATGTATATTCTAGCCAGAGTTGTTCATTTATATACCATGATAAACTATAGAACTATCATAAAAAATAATTAGTTCTTACTTGTTCTTTATTAAGTGTTATAAATAACTTGTATGACATTTGATATTTTAAATCAAAATTTTTTTAAATTAAAATTCTATGTATAAATGTATGATATTGCTGTTGTTCGTTAATTATTATTATAATTATTATGTTAAAAACAACAAAGAAAAAAAAAATGTCAATTAAATTAATCATTGTGTAAATATCAACAAAATAATGTTTAACGATTAAGTATACACTAATATGATAATTAAGACCTCATACGAAACACAAAGAAAATATACTGTGTCCAATTTAGTGTTTTTAAAAACTACACAAACGTTTGCAGTCGACTTAGATGGATTAAACTTTAGGCGTCGTTAAGAGTTATTATAAGTTTACAAAGTTACAGAATAAATAAGCTATCAAGTTGCTATATTATTTTTTTTTTTTGTTAATAGGCTGTACAAAAAATACATAAATTAAAAGCAAATTGGGAGGTTCATTTTCGGTATTGTGGGAAAACACATAAGGATTTTTGGAAGAAAATAGATCTGCTAATTAAAAGTTAAGTTTTGAGATTTATAATTGTCGTTACCTACCTACTATACTTACTGATTTATTATTTATAGAGCTATATAAATACCATTTATGTAAAAAAAGGCTTCATAACTAATTGAAACTAACTGTGTTGAAAATTCGAAATAAATCATATTGTTTGTAAAAAATATATATTTTAATTTAAAACATGTTTAAAATCAGTATGAACAAATTTACAAAATGTACCAGAAATAAATATCCACATTGACCGAATTCGTTAAGATATTACACAATATCATAATTAATAGTGTATGATTTACTTATGAAATATTGTTACTATAGTTTTATATTATTGTTATTATAGTTGCTTTTTTATTGGTTTTATTTTTACCACTTCAACAACTAAGGCTATTATTAACCAAAGAATATTACAAAGTTATTATGTCATGCAAATAGTACTTGTTTAACCTAAATAAATTATTCTAATAATAAATATTATTTAACGTCAACAGTTGTAAGCGTCAACTCGATGAAATGTTCATAAAAAATATTTCATATGTAAATTATTAAACATTCTTCAATAATTATAACTAGGTTAAGGAGTTCGGTATAGGCAACTTTTAGTTTATCTTATTTTGCAACTAAGTCTTAGCTAACTTGTTTTAAATAAATTACAATGGTTTTTAACTGACTAAAAAATTGTATTAGGACTTGGATTGTTAAATTTTTAAAAAAGTAATAAGTACAGTACAGAAGTTTTTTTTTGTAAATAACTGAATCGGGTACGTACTTAACTTTTCATTATGACATTTTCAATAAAATAAAGGAAATAAATTAAACGATATTCAGACGATAAACAAATATATATGTATATATATATATATTTTTTTTTTTAAGTAAGTACACTCGTGTTTTTTGTTTTATCTCGAACGAAAACAATATATTTTTCAATCAGACTCTTTTCTACGGTAACTGTTAATCACCCACTCTATCGTGAAGCCGATCGATGTAGCAATAAAACAGCCACGAGGCCGGAAACGAGGAAAAAAAATAATATTCCCCGTTGCACTTTGTGTATACATGTATACACACTTAAATACAACCGGCAATGCGAAGTTTAATTACCTCGTTGTAGACAAAAGCCGGGTCTAACAAAGTCGACAAAGTTTTAATTCCGGGCCCGCGTCTGCCACGATATGCAGCTAACCCTCCTAAGCAAATTAAAACGGTAACAAAAGTAAGCCAAACCAAATAACTTGAGCTGTGATTTATTACAAAGCGGGCTCAGGGGCGGCCACAGTAAGTGTTAACCCCCCTCCCCCCTCCTCAAAAAAAAAATCAAGTCTTAAGTCCGCCTATGAAAAAGTGCATTCCAGACAAACGTAAACCGCAAAACATATTTAAACAGTCAACTGAAAGTTTAACAAATTGCTCATAGATTATATTAAAAAAAAAAAAAAGATTCCACGATTTCCTTTGTTTTCTGTCCGTATGAACAACAATTAACTAATTGTTAGAAATGCACAATGTTTTACGTTTATGTTTTAAGACAAGCTGAGAAATATAATAATATTATGATTTGTTTAATTAAGTTGAAAAAAATTACTTTTATTATTATATTACCCAATTACTATATTTCTTTGGCAAATACTAGATGTGGTGAGCTGGGTGTTCTAAGTCCAGATCCAGAACACGTGGATAAGTGTACTCAGGAGAGAATCAAAATAACTATATCACTATAATAATTTCGCAATATGTAATTATTTAGATTTTAGTAACTATTTTAAACAATTACACTAGTGAAACTAGTAGGTTCACCACATGAACAATACTAATTTGTAGTATTCCTAAACATATTTATGTATCATAAACTGTTTATAATATCTACATAATAAAAAATTAACACCTTGTACTTAAACTTAGTTTGTTTCAGCACACCTTCACGTATTTGGGTGTTCAGATAAGTTTGCATATCATGTTTTATGTTGTATTCACAAAGTAAATTAAAAATAATGATCAAGTTAATTAGTAACAATAATAGTAGAATAGTAAAAAAGCTTATATTATTAATGAAGTTGGTTAATCTTGACTTTTTAAACGTTGATGTAAAAAAAAAACAATTCACTTATATACTAATCATCACCATATTGCTGCACTGATTTTCGAATGGGATGCTAACTATTTAATTAATACTATGCTCTAGTGTGAAAATAACGCAGTGCGAAATTAACAACCGCCGATTTTCCAATTTTAATTAACAACACGCCGCAAATAAAAGTATATAGGTATTTTTTTATATCGTGTTGAATATTATTATAACAATCTAAATAGGATTAGAAAGGTTAATAATATAATATTATAGTTTGGCTTGTGTGTAGTGTTGGCGTTGGTGAGATAAAAAAATAAATAAACGAAACGATTAATTATTATAAAATCCTATTATTATAATGCGCGTACATACTAATAAAACGACCATCCCGTTGAAAAAAAAATTATGATTTCTCAGAACGTACATAATAGTATAATATAGTAATAATTATTTATTATTATTCGTGGTAGGGGGTACACGCCGACGCTGGGCGGTTTGGCCTACTCCATTAACTGCGACGATAGTCGACCGTGTCTTGATAGCTGTCAAAAAGTATCATCATAATAATTGTTATCATCGTTCGGTCCGGTTTGCACTGTACAACAACGATTTGATCACAGCAATTAAAAAAAAAAATATAATGATAGTAGTAGGATACAGTATAGTATCGATTTTCGTCAGGTCTCGTTTGGCGTCGACCGTGTAAACGTGGTTTTTTATAATAATTTTACCATTCAGACAAGCGACAGTTGCGACCCCGCCAGTGGCCGCACGGCATTTCAACGGTCGTCTCGTGCTCGCTACTAGAAAAAACCAAATTGATAAACGACACATCCCTCGCTACTAAGGAAAACATTTTTAAAAATGTTGATAAGACGCCAGTGTGGACTCGGAAGGAGCTGAAAACCCACGAGAGGACCTTACCGGGTTAGGGACGTGAACTCTAAAAGTGTAGATAAAAAAAACAGCTGTCAAAAAAACCATGAAGTCTTACGTCAGCACGCTTCGTCAAGTATTGGCGACGCTAACCAGTGAGTAAACTTTCTTTTCTTTTCAAATTTTTTTTTTTTTTTTAATGTTTTACATTATTGTTTGTGTTTTTTCGATGCTCGTAAACGGTACACCTCCCGGGTTAAAATACAAATATGTATTATATTATAATAATAGGAATAATAAATGTGTATAAGCTTGACCGCTAAACTCGAAAGTGTCTACACATCACAAACCGTACCTGAAAGGTACTCAATCAGGCCAAACATTAAGGAAGTTTACCCATGCCTATTTAGATTAGAAAAAAACCTAAACCATTTTTCCATATCTTTAAATCATTTTTGTCATCTTTAAACTACGGCGATCTATACATTTTGTTAAAATTGTCTAAAACCTTTCCAAACGTTGGTTATATTCTTTAGATGCAGTACTAACGGTGCACAGTGTGAAAACCCGAGGATATAATATCATTAACACTTTCCTCAAAAGGTGACATGATATTATTTTTTGAATACTTACTGGTGTAATATAAATAATTTGGTCGCGCGTTTCTAAAAAATAATAATAAATATAATCACACTTTTTTTTAACACAGCTGATGTATTTTTTCTTCTTCAAAATTATGGTTAAATGCGAATTGGCTTTTAGTCCAGATAGGTTCAGATATATTTTATAGCATTTTTATGCCGGCTGATATCAACGAATTTAGCGTTGTAGAGTATTGCACGTGAACGCTCACACGGGGCCCATTCCCATCGATATCGGTATTTTTTTTTATTTATTTCCTCTGGCTCCTCCCCCCTTGTAATAAAAAGTTCAAATTTGTTTTCCATAAGTATACCGTTTGCATAATGGGACTCGTTGCATTTACGGCACCGAATTGGGCCGGTCCGCCAATAATTCATATTATACCAGAATTCGTTTACCTGTAGTTTTTTTTTTGACCACACATGTAATATAATATTACATAGTACATTGTATACACACCTTTATCTTAAATATTAAAAAAACAACGAAAAACGGTCGAAGGCCAGTCTTTTTTTTTTAGAAAAATATTATTTTTCAAAATTGTTATACATTTATTATATAGGACAACGTGACCGTGACCGGGTCCAAGGGCCACATAAGGAGTTTATCGTGTACATAGATAATTTCCATTAAGAGCTAACTGAAATTACTATTATTATTTTTTATTATTATTATGATACCATATTAAACGCATTATCAAATTTAAATATAAAAAAAAAAAAAATGTTTAGCTCTTAGATATACACATGTACATACTACAATAATCATTATTGCAGTGGTAGTATAATATTATAAAGAAATATTTAAAATCAATATAATTATAAATACATACAGGGTGACTCATTGAGGATAACACATTCATTTTTTTCTTATAATAATTGTAGCTTTTTTTTTGAAAACATGTTTATTAATGTTATTTAAAATATTATAAAAGTATTCAATATTTACCTTTTTTAGTACTTTCCGGTGCTCTATTAAATTTTTGAAAGTTAAATGGTAACGCCAAAAATGTAATGAAAATCAAGAATAATTTAACTGGTTGATAACCAGTTTTGGATAGTTATCTTAGTTTACTAAGGTAACTATCCAAATTCCACTTACCACCATAAATTTCAAACTTTAGTAACTTTAAAAGTAATTATCCAAAACTGACTTGCACCCCAAATATTTATTAATGGGTTGAGTGTGAGACATTTTTAAAGTTCAAGCTAAAACTATTGTGTAAATTGATTTGCATAGCAATTAGGATTCTTTGTTGCTATTTTTTTTTCACACTATTGCAGCGTACATTAACAACGTTTTTAAGCAGTTTTTAATTACTTTTTTTTTTTTACCAAAACAGCTAAGCAGATTGCGTGATGATATTTGTTAAGTATTTAGGTTAATATATACCGTTGAAAAAAGGAACTTTGTAATTTTAATATTGATATAATAATAATAAAAGGGTTAGATTTGAGTGGAAAAATTGAAGAAATAGAAAATGTATGACGAATTAACGAGAAATTCTAATTTTCTTTCTTGCTTATCGCACAAACACACAGTTCAGGCAAAGTCAATGAGTAATTGTTATAATAATCGATTAATGAAAAAATTGTATTTTAATTATTATATTGATTTTACGTCGTCATCGTTTTATAATAAACATCACAATTGCAAAATATCAGTTGATATTTTGTTTTTATGGCTCAAATGAAATAAAATAATACTCAAAGTCTTATTCATCTTAGTATAGCATTAGGTTAAATATCATAATTAAATTAATGCTCAAATTTAACCATTAACCCTTGAAAAATTATGAAACAACGGTAATAAAGCCAGCATATTAAGAAGGTCACAGGTCTTAAGGAGTTTTGATAACAGGAAAGCCAATTGCATAGTTATCTTAATTCTAAAAGTAGATGTTTGTAAAATAATTCTGAATAAACACGGTTTGGTTTTAGCGAATTGTATTCGTTTCAGATATAATTATGTCATAAAAAAAAACTCAAGTTTTTAAGACAAGTTAATTCTTGAGATACTCCAGAATAGTATTATTTTTATCAGCGCGCATTACTCAACAGCACTCCACATACCGTCTTAAATTTTAAACTTAAATAACTTTAAAAGTCCAAAGTCTTATTCAAAACTGGTTATCGACTATTAAACTATACAACTATTTAATTATTTAATTTAGTTTTTGACGTTACCGCTTAAGATTCAAAAATTGATAGAACAAGGCAAATATTTTGTAATTTTATTATATTCTAAAATAACATGATATTTTAACTTCGTTGCGGAGCTGATTTTTCTTTAAATTAGTTCTCATGTGAAAACTGCACATCAATTAGGCGGTATGTAGTATATTACAGTAGTTATTTAGAGCAGACGTCGCGTCATAGCTAAATTATTTCCTATATTGACTATTAGTATTTTATTATTTTCTTCAATAAACATTTCTATTATTTTAATACCTGTAATCGGATATTAAAATATGGCTTAAATAACTCATTAATAAGAATCGTATTTCACTTCTGTAATAATTTCGGATTTAGTTTGAATTGTATTACACTACGCTTTAAAATCACCTTAATTATTTATTATTTTTTTAAACAACTATAATTATTACTTTGACAAAGTTTGTTATGTTAATCACTTAATGTAATTCAAGTGTGGTAGTAAATATGAGTCAATAGGTAAATATTTTATATAATTGCCTCTATACTTAACTCCTTAGTCATTAGCAATGGTAATTTAGCAGAGTTATGCAAATTTAACATGGTATTTTTTCTACATTCCTATACAAAGGTTTTTTTTAAAGATTATTATCGTTATATTTCTTTAATAGACTAATAGGAATAAAGAATAATGTAATAAATAAACTGGTGAATATTCAAAGGGTTAAGTGAAATATTAGATTAGACCAAAACTATTGTTTTCATTATGTTCCTATAGGTGATGTTCATTAGTTATCTTCCACATCTTTTTCGAAAATTCCATAATAAACACATATAGAAAAAGGTTTCATTGACAAACATTGTTTAATTAAACAATTTTGTTCTTAAGAAAAAGTCACTTGTACCCTTTTGATTATTATTGCTTTATATTTACTTATAGCTTATAGTTTTTCATTTTAACACAATAATAGGTTAGTGCTGTTATCAAAAATTAAGCTGAGATTAGGAAATCCTATTAGATACGAAAGAATGTTCATTGATCGGGACTTGCAGTTTGCTGCATTATTATAACCACATAACATTTTCTTTTATTTGTAACTTGTAGTAACGCTATCGGTGTTTATGGCGGGCACGTTTTTCGGTTGGCCGTCGCCCGTCACGCAGATGATGAAGCACTCGATAATTCCGCCCATTAACATGACTTCCAGTCAGGAATCTTGGATGGTGACGGCCATAGAAATCGGCAACCTGATCTTTCCGCTGCCGGCCGGTTTCTTGATGGACACGTTTGGCCGACGCTTGTGTCTGATGGCCTCCGGGCCGCTGGCACTGGCCGGCTGGGCGCTGGTGGTGTTCACCAAAGACGTGCGTTGCCTGTACGTGGCGCGCATACTGCACGGTTGCTCCATGGCCATTGCGTTCGTCATCTCGCCCGTGTACGTGGGTGAAATAGCCGGCAACAAGATACGGGGCTCGCTCAGCGTCTTCTTCCAGGGTATGAATATAATGGGCCTGCTACTAGTGTACGCCGTTGGCTGGTGCTCGTCCTACAACACCCTGGCTCTATCCATGTCCGTGGTAAGTTCAGTCCACCAATCGGGTTAGAATTATTCTTCGCTGCCTCATCCTTACCATTTTTCCGTGTCACACTGCTCTTCTTGAGGGAGCCGTTTCGGCTACTTCCCCCTGAGAAGAGGCTCGACAGAAACTAACCAAACCTAGCCTAACTTCATTTAACCAAACCAACTACTCGTACCTATCTCCAAATTTATTCGATACCTACTCGAAAGTGTTGATTATATTTTAACCTTTTGGCATTGTATTATTTTATATATTATGTAATATTATGCTTGTGCAGGTGCCGGTGTTGCTGACAGTATCGTTGTTTTTCATACCTGAATCGCCCTACTACCTAGTGATGGCCGGCGACAAAAAGGGCGCTGCCGAGTCGTTGAGCTGGTTGAGAGCCACCGACATTGCTGGCGTTGAAGAGGAAGTGCGGGTGATGAGCTCGTCCGAGTCCAACATGTCAGGCAGTCCCAAAGACCTGTTGAAGCGGTCGGGCAAACCGCTGGCCATCGTGTTGGTCGTAGGTACCAGCCTGATATTCAGCGGCATCAGCGTGATCGAAGCGTACGCGTCCACTGCGTTCGGCGACAGTTCCGATTTCTCGATAACGGCGGACGCGTGCGCCGTCATGCTGGGCGTGGTGGCCATGCTGGGCGTCGCGTTTTCTGCCACCGTGGTCGACCGGTTCGGACGGCGGCCGGTGCTGCTGCTGTCGTGCACGGGCCTGGCGCTCAGCAACCTGGTGTCCGCTTACGGCCTGTACCACGTCCACATGGAGTGGCTAGTGCTGGTCGCGCTGGGCGCCACCATGTTCTGCGGCAACGCCGGCCTGATGCCACTGGCCACCACCATCTTGTGTGAGTACTTCCCGACTACCGACCGGGCGCTGGCCAACGGCATCACACAGTTCGTCGTCACTATCGCGTCGCTGCTGTCGCTCAAGATCTACCAGCCGGTCAGCGACATGTACGGCATGCACGCCAACTTCCTGTTGTTCGCCGCCGACGCCGCCTTCTCGGCCATTGTCGTTTACATGTTCGTGCCGGAAACCAAGGGCAAGAGTTTTGAAGAAATCGAAATGCTTTTCAAAAAGAAAAAACCCAAAGCGGTCAGAAACAGGGCGGGCAAAGTGTAAGTAGTCGCCGAGCACGATACGCAACACTTTTCTCTACACCTGACGCGTTTAGGACATAGGGGTGGACATGAAGGGCATTAGCACCCTCTCTCTAATGTGGGCTTGAGGCTTAAATATTACAGGGACTGAAGCTCCCTCCTAAGTCTTAAGTCCGCCTTTGTTTGTAAGTCTTTTGGACCCTATCCTACCGCCCCGTCAAGCAAGTGTGAAGTTTAATTGTAAATAATTACCCATGCGGTATATAGAACCCCAGCAGCAGCTATCTTCTCGGTCTTCTCTGTGGATTCTTGCAGAGCGTGCGATAGGAGTTAAGTTTGCTCTGTTCGTTGGAATTCGGCCAAGACGAAGTTGTGCTCACCTGGCAATCCGAATTTCTAAAGCCAAGTCCGACGTGTTGCTAGCCAAACGACTTGGCACGCTCCGAACTCCATTCAGACTTTAATCTAAAAATAAGTAAATAACTTTTAAAACTTAATTCTTGTATTTCACATACGACTGCGATTTATTTATTCTATCGTGCCATAATATGCAAAACTCTGAAAAATGTCTCGCATACACATTTTTATACTTCTGTAGACATATGCTGTTTAAAGCGAAATCAAGTCATTATTATTATTTTTTTTTTTGTTAATTTTATAACTCCAAAAAAAAGACATTATTGTAATATTTTTATAGAATAACATATTATTATCAATAGATAATAAATAAATTGTAAATTCAACAACTATCTACCGTAGACGTACGATTTTAATTATTTTTGTTGTTTTTACAAATGTATGATATTAATTTTTTGTATACTAGTTGATTGTTGTATAAAATGTAGGGGATTTTATAATATAAATTGACATTAGTTAGATTTAAAATAGTTGTATAGAATTTATAAGTTTTTTATGTACAGTGAATAATTCACTGTACATAAAAAACATATAAATAACCTAAACGGTATAATTATTATACCGTTTAGGTTATTTTTATTACTAATTTAATAACTAAACGGTCAATTGTTATTGATGAATAAACCGAACGATCAAGAAGTACCACTTGATAGTACTACCAATACATTATTATTATTTTTTTTTTAATTTAATAGTTATAATCTTTATTACTCTTTAATCTTGATAGATCTGTGTCTTTGTGTTATATATTGTTTAACATCTTCAATTTAGTGTATAACACATAACAGTTACACAGCAATATAGCTAATCTGAGCATAGGCAAACAATTAATGTTTGCCTAATTAAATCCAACATTATCGTCTCGTTCGTAATAATTTGTTCAGTCGTATAATAATAATTAGCGATTAGTATGTGTAGTTTCTTCAGTGTGATGCTGATAGGCCGTATTCAACAATTCTAACACATCAAAATATGATTTTGGATTTTAAAGATAACTTGGAATTTATAGACTTTTTAGAGTTCAAAAATAGTGAAATTGAAAAGATTTTTTATAAGACACTTCTCGGGTGTTAAGCTTAAATAAAGTTGTTAGCATGAAGTTAAAAAGTTTGTCAATAATCTTTAACCCAATAGAGGAGGGAGGGTACTGTTGTTTTTATTTTAAAACACATTTATAAAAAAAATAAAGACCTAAAAATTGGACTGAAGAACGTTTTTGAGTTTCTAGGAATGCATTTATGAACGAAATACAATTTTAGTAAAATTTTAATGCAAATTTAAAAAGTAATATAAGATGTGATACCACATTAGGGTGGTCGTTATTTTTAGTTCACCTTTGCAAATAGGTTACCAATGAGTTTAAAAAAATACTCTATTTTTTATTCAAATCCCTTCATTTCTCTATGCTTGAATGAGAAACAATGGTATCACATTTTAATGGTATCCACCATCGAAAAAATACATTTATTAGAAAAAACTGTAATAATCGCTTTGGATCGTACTTATGACAAACATCAACATGCTAAAATTAGGAAAACAATGGGATTTAAAATCATTTACAAGGCTACAAAATAAAATATTTTGACTAAAATATGAAATTTGTAATTATTAGAACTAATTTAAATGTTATGAATAATTTTAGTACAGACAGTAATTAATACAGCAGGGCTCATCCACCAGGCTCACGATGATTAATAAAACAATTATTTACCACTTGATATATATATATTATGTCATATCATTGATGATGTCGTTTGTTGTATTTAAATATAACTAAAAAATCCATTTTTCATTTGTGTAGTAATTATCAAAACTTTACATCTATAATATTCTGCAATAAATAAGATTGTTTAGTTATTTAAGTTTGTTAGTTTAACTTTAGTAGTTTATTAGCTATAATTCACAAGTTTATGCGTTCCGAATTAGCTGAATGAAAACCTTATTATAATAAAAAATAAATAAATAATATAATTATTAATTCCAAATTCATCATAATTCGTTATATCGAAAATTTTATTTAATTTACACTAAGTTAATTAAAAAAATAATTTATATTGGCTTTGAAAAAATGTATTAATGTTCGATTTAACATGACAGCGGTGCAGTGTTTTGTTTAAAAGACAATTACTTTATTTCAAAAGAACTAAAAAAAAACAACACAATAATAATTGTCACGTTTTCGATTATTTTATTATCCAAAAGATCTTTTGTTTTTTTTCATTCTTATTTTTTTCGGACGAAGTGGGGTTTAATTTTGATGAACGATTTTACAAGTGGGATTTACTTCTTCATCGTTCGATGTGACTGTGCACACAGCGTTATTAAGTGGATGTGGACGGAAAACACATAAGCCCCTTCTGTTTATAACGAGTGCTCTTACCCACACAAAAACAAGAGATTACTTTCCCTCTCAACTATTTACCGAGCAAAAAAAAAACATTTAACAGTATTTTTTTTTAAAATTCTAAACAATAATTATTATCTTTTTTCGATATGTTTTTTTATTGTTATATTTTAATTTGAGTGCTCGTGCGGATCTTAACAAATAAACAGATACAACGTCTTTTTGAGCTTATCTTGTTTCTTCTACACTTGAGTTTTTATCTAAATGTTATCCATGTAGGCTTTGACGATGGGCCGAAGACATATTAAAAAAAAAGTTAGTCGACATTATCTGTATCGTAAATTAAGGTTTTTTTTTAATACTATGTTTTTTTATGACGGTGCTTGAATTGGAGAAAAACATCTGGAGAATATTCTCTACAAATAATTAGTGGCGATGGCAGAAAGCGTTTCTTGCGATCAAATCTCAAGCAATGACAAAAAGCCCAAAGTGTGGACAAGGAGGAAATGGAGTATATATTAATTTAAAAAAAGGGGTTTGGTATCCGGTCATGTTTCGGACAAGCTACAGCCAACGTCAGCCCAAAGTACATGAAACTTTGTCAATTATAGTTTTTACAGTGTTGTTATTATTATTGTACAATCAAACTTTCACAGTGTTATTAAACGGATCTCCGTTTGATGAAGTTTTAATGGCTATTTAATAACACAGTGATAAATTATATCGCATAAGTTCATTTAGTGTTTTCACCAACAGTATTATTACATAACTTGGTGTATTTTTTTTGTTTTTTACTACTGTGTTGTAGTTGAGGATATTGTGATTTTAGTGTAGACCTCACACCCATAGCTGTAATGTCTAAAGATTATTTCATACCAATTACGAAAATAGGATAAAAAATAAAAACACATTATTGAAAAAAAACAATACTTTCTCTGCTCCGCGTCGAAGCTAAATTATTCAAACATTTCAATTGTGGACCTAATTTAAATAACCATAACACAAACATATTTTATACTCCAAACGTAGTACTAGTGAATTATATAAATTATTATTAGACTACTTTGTTTTAAATAATATTACTGCACTATTTTATTTAAAATTATTTTAAAGTGATTTATTTGTATTGTTCATTTCTATTGATTGTTGTAATAATTATGTTTGGAATGTGTACACTGTTTCACAGCAGTTCTGTTTCGCGATAAAAGGTTGTTTCTCTCACTTGACATTTTCAACTATTATAATCTAGAGTGGCACACTTTTTAAAACGTCATCTCAGGAACATCAATCTTACGTGAATTATCAATGTCAATATCGAACATGCATGCCATGAATTGTACGCATGCCATTTCCTTGACAAGTACCATCTTTCCTGTGGAGGTTAAACAAAATCATACACACCCCGTCTAGGTCTGGGGGTTGTTCCGTTGTTCCATTTCGGTGTTTGCACAGAGGGACACGATGTCACAAACCAACGTTATCAATATTATTTCCAAGCACATAGCAGCTCTCGACGGTGTAACTTGAGCACGAGCGTTCCTTTCAGACGTATTCCCTATTGATGCATCCGCGTGTATCCTGTCTGCATCTATTTAGTATTATTCGTCCCCTATCTGCAAAGGTTGACGGACACATTTCGATAACAGACTAGGTAAACACAAACGATCACGTCGCCTTTGCTGGGCTGTTTTTGTTACAAGCGCCAGCCGTCAACGCAAGGGTAAAGGCAAAAAGTTATAATTTAATTAGACTAATTTAATTATGAAGTTAGGTCGACCATAAATAGTGCTCGTACTTGCGAGCTGTATTGGCAAACCGGTAGAAAACAATACACAATACAAAGGATCAAAACGACAATAGAACATAGAAAACCCCAAACAAACGCCAATGTTAATTAAATCACATATTTCAGGATCGACGGTTTATAAAATATCACTTATTTCATCATCCGTTTTTAATTTTATAAAATTAATTATTGTATTCAGAGTTAGGTGAATTTGATAGTAGCCTATTCCAAGACAGTTTTCAAATAACCGAAATTGTTATAGTTTAATTCATAAATATTATCTATACATTTAAAATGTTATTAGTTATTTTTAAACGATACTATCTCACTTCGTATTGTGTTAAACGTCATCAATTAAGTTTGTGCTCATCTTTTTTCTTTTTAAACAATATGAAATATCTTAAGTTATTTATTAAATAATTACAATGAATTTTACCTAGAGCGCTATTTAACTATTCAAATAATTGAGATAATTCAAAAATAAAATTAAGGCGTTTTTCCTTACAAATAGTATATTACTTAATCAAGGTTGGAATTAAGTATTAGGTGAGTAATAAAAACTAATACATATTTATCATGACAAAAGCTATTATAAAGCAGTGTCGATTTTTGGTAACTTGTGAATTGTTTTTTTTTTAAATTGATTTTCACGAAGCATATATTGTGGACTGTGGTGAAGGGATGATGTCCTCCCACTCTCAAGATTTATATTATTCCCGAAAATTAGCATTTTATTTTAATAAAGTGAACCGAATTGAACAAAAAAAAACATTATTCCCCCCTTGGAAAGGAAAACCTAATTAAAGTTTTTTTTAACTTGCTCCACCCCTCCTCTTCTTTGGAAAACCTCTAGTCACGTTACGCTAATGCAATACTATAATAATAGAGACTGTTTTAATGTTAATTGAAAATAACTATACCATTTTTTCATTCATTCAGGCTAAATCGTCAAACGTGTGAAATGCACAAATTTCTATATCATGCATCGGATTAACTGAAGCTGTTTAAAAATAAATGTATTACACAATGATTGTTACTGAATGCAAATAAAGCGAACCAAAAACTAAAGTAATCAGCAGATCAACGTTTTGTTCGTGATAACAATTATTAGACTTGCGTTAGGTTTTTTTTTTTATAGAATTTTGTGAGTGTATTTTTTTCATCTAAAAACTCCAGTTACGTTTTACAAGTCTTGAGACCATTAAGTCAAAAGTCTGTTTGCAGCCCAAGACAATCGCTGAGAGATAGAACTTTTCCTTTATTTGCTTTCCCTTCTTGTTATTTATGAGTTTGGGTTTCCTGCCGTTTAAGTTGCAAACGCCACGACAAGAAATATATTACCAAGACAATTATCTCTTCAATTAACGATCGACCTCTTCTACATCATAATTATATTATCATAGACGAACGATTTTCTTGACACGATGGATTTTTTATCGTATATCACAATGTATAATTATAGTATTCGTAATCGCCTCCATACACTTAATTACGGTTTCTTTACAATTATCGCATGCTAACTGTTTCTAAAA